CAGCATGCCCTTACTTCCTGGCACTTGTTCCAACTTCACCTTCTGTGTTCCCTGCACTAGCCCTGAAATCAGCCACTTCTCCAAGGAACCCTGGTTCCTTTTATTGAGAATGGATTTAAAAGCCAGGATCTGCGTGCTAGGTATGCTTGTTATCATTGGGGTGTCACTGCTTCCAGGTCTCTTCAGCAGACAGGGCTGGGTAACGTGTGTATGTATACTAGCCCATATGTACCCACAAACCTGTAGTTCTGTATCTATCTACTAAACAGGTTCCCAGTCACGTCTCCAACTCTAATCAAGTGCCACAGGGCTCACTCCAGTCTTCCTCTCTCGCTTATTTGGAGCCTCCTTCTCTGACAGTGAGCAACTTGCCTCCCAGTATCTGCGACTTACTTGGTATTGTTTAACTCTAACACACATGGAAAGTAGTTTCAGAGTTGTTAACCTGTACCCCTCTGAGAAACAAATTTACCAACTGTAGTACAATGTATATTTACAGTTCTGTTTGTCTTTTTCCCTCACAGTATCCATTCAAAACACTGTTTCCAAAGTTTCTTAGGTCAACTCTTTGTCCCCCTGCCTTCTTAGTGAGGTTATTTTATACATTTGTAAGAGTTAGATTCATTTTATCCCAGTCTGCCTTCCATTTCAATTTCCAGACATGTTTTTTTTTTGAGTAAGATTAGCCCTGAGCTAACTACTGCCAATCCTCCTCTTTTTGCTGAGGAAGACTGGCCCTGAGCTAACATTGTGCCCATCTTCTTCTACTTTATATGTGGGATGCGTACTACAGCATGGCGTGCCAAGCAGTGCCATGTCCGCACCCGGGATCAGAACCGGTGAACCCCGGGCCACCGAAGCGGAACATGCACACTTAACTGCTGCGCCACCGGGCTGGCCCCAACCAGACATGTTTTTTGCCCCACCTGCATACAGTCAAGTTAAATCTTTTGGGTGTACACTGCTGATTCTGACGAATGCAGTCATGTCTCCACCACCACACCTTACAGAACTATTCCATAACTTCAAAAAGTCCCCTGTGGAGTGTCTTTATAATTATCCTCTCTGGGCTTCCCAGGCAACCACTGATCTGTTTTTCCATCCCTCTAGTTTTGCACCTTTTCAAAAATGCCATATAAATGGAATCAGATAGTACATAGCCTTTTGGGTCTTGCTTCTTTCACTTAGCAAAATGCATTTGCTTGGGGAGCCTGTACACCATCATATCCAGCCATCACATTCCAGTGTCTCTTGGAAGTGTCTCCTCTTTTTCCTCTCTCTCTTACCCCACCAGGCTCTTTATCTCTTGCTCAGATTAGTTTCTGCCGTTAGATCCAATCCGCTGTGATCCGCTTCCTGCTGCCTGATTAATCTTCCACTAACACACCCATTTCATTCCATTTCCTCACTGGACAAGTTCAAAACTTTCCCACGACCTACAGGAAAAATTTCAAACTCAGCTGGCATTCACAGTCATTCAAAATTTGGTTCTAACTTACCCCCATCACAAATACCACACTGAAGCCAAACTTACTTCCTTACCACTCTTTTTCAGGATCCAAACTGTAAAGCTATTTCTCTATCAATATAAACCCCCTCTATCCTTCAAATCCAGCTTAAAGGACAATTTCTTATCATTTCTCCACAGGTCTTCCCTTCCCCAAATGATTCTCCTTCTCATCCCTATGGCACATTTTGATGGCCTTCTTATAACTTAATACTCTGGACTTGAAATGTATTCAATACCTACATACTAGGTACTAGAAAGCCACTGTCTTGAAAACAACATATGAAAAAAAATTAAAGCGTTGTATCATTGGGGAGACAAGCAGCAAACTAAAATACAATGTAATCAAGTGTTATAACTGTAACATATATAAAGTGTTCAGGGAAGCAGAGTGAGAGCCCAATTCTGCCTTGTGAAGGGAAACTGCAGATTCCCCAGAGATAGAGGGACAGCTGACTGATCCTTCTTTACTCCTCTCAGGAGGCTTAGCAGTGCACTTTGATGGTAGTAAACATTGAATATCCAACCCCTAAATGTTGGCATTCCTCAAATCTTCCTCTCTCTCTCCACACTTCTCCTTAGGTGACCTCATCCAATCCCACGGCTTCCTATGCTGAGGACTCCATTAGGAACATTTCCTTGGGCTCCAAACCTGTGTATCTAACTGCCTACATATTCGTTTCAGTGTCTAACAGGCACCTTACACTTAACAGATCCAAAATATATCATTCTTTACATTTCCACTGCAAACTACCTCCAAACAATCACATCCTCACCTGTCTTTCCCCACCCTCTTCTTCCCCATCTCAGCCAATGGGCACATCGTCCACCTCACTGCTCAAGGAAGAAACCTAAGACTTACCTTTGACATTTTCCTCTCTCTTGTCTGCTACATTATTCAATCCTTCAGTAAGTCTTCTCGAATCTCCTTTAAAAATATCTCTAACCCTCCAACTTCCATCTTACTACCACCACCCTAATCCAAACCATCATCATATCGTCTGCAATTATATAATCAATAGTAATCCAAACTGTATACATTTTCTAAAAAGAACCAAGGCCTATCATGTTTCTCCCTTGCTTATAAGCTTTCAATGTTTTCTAGAAATGGCAATGTATTCCCATTGTGAAGAAAATCTAAACCCCCCACCACGGCTTTCAAAGCCCTACAGAACATCGTCCCACCCAACTCCTCTAACTTGATCGTGGACGCTCCTAACTCCCCATTCACTACTATGATCCCCTTTCCATGGCTCCCACCTCAGGAACTTAGCCCTAAGTTACTCTCTCTCCTTAACGTAGTTTTCCCTGGGCTTCCAGATTTCAGGGTTGCCTCTGGTCATGCTTTAGGTCTCCGCTTAACGATCACTTCTTCAGACTCCCCTATTCTCCATCTCAGCACTCAGTCTGTTTCCTTCCCAGCGCTTAGAACTTGCAACTGTACATTCAGGTTGCAAATTCAGACTTAGCACTGATCGGGCGCAGAATGGATGTTTGTCAAACACATGATAGAAAGGCTGAACGCAACTAGCACGGGCCCAGATTTCAGAGGGTGAAGGTAGCGCATGCTAACCCAGCACTCTCAGGGCAAGGTGGTAGGAAAAAGGATCGTAAACCTGCTCTAGTCGCCAGGCTCCCTCCAACGCCCAAACTCCCAGAATAGAACAGGCCACAGAAGACCGCCCAGCAGAGGACAGATGTGAACACCTCCACCCGCTCTGGCAGTGCGGGGAGACCCTCTCTGCCGCCAGGACAGGGAGCGAACCCCTTCCACTGGCAGTCGCCGAGCCCCCCGGACTCACCGCGCACGTGGGACGCAGGCAGGCGCAAATCCCCGCTCTGGGGCCGCCGCTTCCGCTTCCTCGCCTTGCCCCGCCCCTGGGCCTGCTTTTTCCTTCTTCCTCGGCAGAGCTGGGGTTAAGGGGTGGGAATTAGCCAGAAAAACGGAAACTCGGCATTTCTATTGGCCCGCTCCCATTTACCTCATCTAGAGGCGCGAGGGCGCGAGGGTTTGGCCCTTGAAAGGATCCGTCGGGTGAGGACGTGCTAGCGGCTCCCGAAAGTGACGTCATGAACCCTGCAGCTTCGCAGCTGTGGAAGAAACTCCGCTCTCGCGAGGGTTGGCTAGTTGTCGAACGGGAGACTTGTTTGGTTCGGTTAATCCTGTATCTTGAACTAAGAGTAAAATAGGTAATGTTTTTAGAGTGCGTTCATTTGCATCCTCTCTGGCAGTCTGGCGTGCAGGATAAAAGCGATATCTCGGGAGTCGGTTCGAATTGTAATCCTGTTTTTCTCGCTAGCTAGCTGTGTAGCTTTGGGCAAATTACTAAATTTCTCTGAGCCTTAGTTACCTGATCAGTTGGATAGATAGCTAAGTCATACAGGAGAGCGCCTAGCACAATGAATGATCATGATGAGCACTCAGTTAATGTCTGCCAAGTTTAACGTCTGCCCGTTCCTTCAGACTGCAGTTATCCCTTTTTCCACTGTAGGAAATGAGACTGTAGTTAGGATGTCAGCCCCATTTTACAGATGAAGGAACTGACACCACAACCTTGGTCGTGTCACACAGAATTTATCTTCTAACAGTTCTGGAGGACAGAAGTCTGAAATCAAGCTATTGGCAAGGTTGTGCACCTTCCACTGCTCTAGGGAAGAATCCTCTGCCCCTTCCAGCTTCTGCTGGTCCCGGGTTCCTCGGCTTGTCCTGCGTGATTCCAGTCTCTGCCTCTGTCTTCACATGGCCTTCTCTCTGTCTTCTCCTCTTCTGTTAGGAGGACACTTGTCATTGGTTTAGAGCTCATCAGGATAATCCAGGATGATCTAATCTGGAGGTCCTTCATTATATCTGCAAAGAGCCTTTACCAGATAAGGTCGCTTTGGCGGGTCCTAGGGTTTGGACACTGATCTATCTTTTGAAGGGCCCCCTGGAGAGTCAAGGAATCAGTACTTGATCCCAGGTGTGTCGTGTCAGATTTAACTGTCTTCCAAATCATACTGTTTCCTGCCCCTTAAGGTGTTAGCCTTGAGACTGGTAAATCATTAGACTGTATGCTTCTTGAGGGCAGGAGCTGGCCTTATTTCCCAGGCACCTACCCCACCACTCAGCGTGTAGATGTTTAATAAGACTTATTATTATTGTCTGCCTTAAATATTATATTTGTATTTCAGCTCATTTAAATCTCCTAAGAACAGTTCGAGTAGGTCTTTCCCCCTCATTTCATTGAAAAAGGGGAAACATTCAGTAGCTTGGATCCCATGAGCCTGACTCCAAACTCAACAAGGCTGCCTCTGGACTGCTTCCCCTAATCCATTAACTCTCCAGTAGGGGCTGGCCCCCCCGCCAAGTGGTTAAGTTCCCGCGCTCTGCTTCGGGGGCCCGGGGTTTCACCAGCTGGGATCCTGGGCGTGGACATGGCACCGCTCATCAGGCCATGCTGAGGCAGCATCCCACATAGCACAACCAGAGGGACCTACAACTAGAATATACAACTATGTACTGGGGGGCTTTGGGGAGAATAAGAAGAAGAAGATTAGCTCAGGTGCCAATCCAAAAAAAAAAAAAAGTTCTCCAGTAAATGCTCAAGAGAGGAGAATACAGAATAAGAACTGCAGGAGGTCCATCAGCAGTGCCTATTAGACAAATAGTATGGTACTCACTAGCCAAGAAAAAACCTTCACAAATACACCCTACCACACAATACCTGGAGGGATACATTTGTATTTTCAACACCACACATGGCAGCACCCTGGATCCTCTCAGACACATCCATGTAGCTGTCTTAAACATACGTGAAAACCCTACTCTTCGTTTGCCTTTTCACCAGGGAGGAAAAAGAAAGTGATCACATACCAGAGTCCTAGATTGTTGTTAACAATGTTATGTATCAAGTCTTCTGTGCTTTCAAAAGGGGATTGTTTTATTTGTTTGGAGTGAGTTGAAAGTATCTTGTGGTTTTGCACAACAGCAATAAAAAGAGTTTATCCTGTAATTTTGCAGTTAGCCGAGCAAGTTAAGCCCATTGGTTTTTCAGATATCTAATGATGTAAATGTTGAGCATTCTGTATATTCCTAGAACCATGAGATGCTTTTTAGCAATGTAATTAAGAGTATTGGCATTGGAATCAAGCAAGTCTGGCTTAGAATCCAAGGTCTGTATGTCCATGGGCAAGGTATTACTTTGTATGGGCCTCAGTTTCTGCATATGTAAAATGGGAATAATAGCACTTATCCTTTGGGGTAGCCATGTGACTCAAAAATGATGATATCTGTAAAGTTATTAGCCCATAGTAAATGTTGAGTGATTTATAGCTTGAGAGAGAACCAAGGTGTATTCATTAGAAATGCATCTAGTTGCAAGTAATGGAAAGTTCAGATATAGTGGCTTAATTAATAATTTTCTTCACACAACAAAAATTCTGAAGGTAGTTGGTTGCTTTAGTTCAGTGACTCAGTGATGACATCAAAGACCCAAGTTCTTTCAGTTTCGATGCTCCATGCTCCTCAGTGTGTTGACTTTTCTTTCTTATACTTGTTACTTTCAGGGTTTTTTCTGTTTGTACCTTTTGACCGCCTTCACCCATTTCCCCCATCCCCCATCTCCCTGCCTCTGGCAGCCACCAATCTGTTCTCTGTTGCTATGAGTTAGGGTTTTTTAGATTCCACATACAAGTGAAATTGTATAATATTTGTCTTTCTCAGTCTGACTTATTTCACAGTTGCTTTCTGATTGCAAGATGTACTTCTCTGTTTCAGAATTTATATCAGATTTCAGGGCTAGCAGAATGGGGAAAAGGATGAAATTCACTTTTTTTTTCAGTGCCTAGACCTGGGTCACACGGCCACCCCCAGGATGGGAGGACCATCAGACATAATGTTAACCAGGGATTTGGGTTTCTTTCTTATTCCAATACTCTAGTAAAATTAAAGGTCACGTGGCAAATGTGCTTCCATCCAGCAGTAGAGATTTAATCTGTAACTTAAACTAATCTGGTTTAAAACTTAAAATAACTATAGTAAGCTAAAGCTTAAAATAATTGTAGTATTCAAGGTGGTGGATCTCAATCTTGGCCACACATCAGAATCCCCTGGAGAGTTTACAAACCGAAAACCCAAACCGGTAATTCTGATTTAATTAGTCTGAAGTGGGACCTGGGCATTGAGAATTTGGAAAGTTCCCCAGATCATGCTAATGTGAAGATGGTTCAAGTTGTTGATTTGACTTTCTAGTTAACTGAGGGTTAAACCCTATAACCGTCTGGTCCCTCTTTTGCAGTCCCCAGAATTAAAGAATTAAAATGTATAACACACTTGTTTCTGTAAGTAGAATGTCTAGGACATAACTGTATCCTTCTTGTTGCCTGAGGTCTCCTGTTGTGATTTCATATCATTAGATACAGAAAATGGTTTAAATTTCAACTATGCACTTTCAAATGTATTCTGGAAAATGTTTACTTTTTTTTCAATTCCTCGTGATTTTGTAGAATTTTTCTCTTTTTCATAAAAATAAAGTGTGTTAGGTATCAGCTCCCACATATCTCCTCTCCATAAAATCAGTTCTTTAGAGTTTTAATTAATGGGTTTTAACTAATTGGTGTTGTTTCTCTCTTTCCCAAATGCATAAGCAGGGATAAAGGGCATGTCATTGATATGAAGCATAAGTGAGATTTTGGCAAAGATTGGGTTTTATTTCCCAATCATAAATCCATGGAAACGGAGCAGTTCCTTTAGTAAAAGAGAACTGCTTCTGAGTCTGGTGGATTATGGTTAACATTATGTCTGATGGTCCTCCAATCCTTTCAGCCTGAATGAGGCTGTAATGCTGCTGCCTAGTTTCAGTTTGCATCTACAAACCGAGCTGACTCATCTGTAAACTATGCTTGGGCTTTTTCCTCCCCCTTCAGCTGTTTGTATGATACCCTGCTACATGGCCATAGGTAGGAGCTGAAGAAGGGGAGCTGATGCAATCATGTGGGTGATAGGGAGGTCTGGGCTCCCTGTTCATGCAGATAACTCAGGCCCTCTGATCTTACTTGGACTCAATCCCTGATATACCACTTCCATCTTACAATAGATGTTGCTGGGTCCACCTAACTTTATGAATTGACAGGTAAGACAGAGCCCAGCTCATAATGGGCAGTTCTGGATGGATGGTCATTAGTACACTGTAGTCAAGCATTCTATCTCCATCAGAGCTCAGTAATGTGCCAGGAGCTGTTTCTTGAGATGTGTAGAACTCTCCATTACAGATGGCATGACCTTCCTCCAGAACCCCAAGGCCCTATGTTGTCCTCCTACTTAGGCTTACCATGAACCCTACACTGTATCTTTTCTCACTATTGACACCACCCACATCACGGGGCCTGCCAGGTGTCCTGGTCTAAGTGGGCAGAGCTGCTTTCACTGGACTCACTGTAGAGCTCTTTCCTGTTCCAGGCCCCACTTAGAGCTGGCAGCCTTCCACATCCTCTGGTGGATGGACTGGAGCAGGATTCCTAGATGCAGATACTGTTGCTGCCAGAACCTGAAGAGGCCCACCAAACATTCTAGTTCCTTCTTTGTAGTAGGGAATACAAGATGCAACAATGTGTCTTTACTTTGGAGGGGATGTCCTGACATGCTCCTGACCCACCTCCTTCTTTTAAGTCCCAGATTTTAGAATTCCTGAAAATTTTACTAAAGTGGCCTGTCCTTGAATCTTTATAGAGTTTGTCTCCTACCTTCTGAGCACATGTTTCTTATCGAGGTCTCTAGCATATTAGCCACGTCTTTATTTTATTGATGTAATGGATCAAAGTGATTTTCTGCGAATGTGCCGATGGTCCAGACCTCTTGGGGCTATCCTAAGACAGAAGGTGGGCATGCGCACATAGCCTTGGTGCAAAACTATAAAGGAATATTGTTGTTCATTCCAAGGACTGTGAACTGCTTCTGATCCTATTTTCCATCTGTTTTTTCCATCCTATTTTACCATCTGCTATGGCCACTCAAGCATTTCACCTTTGCTCTCCAGGCTTCAGAAAGCTACGTACCAATATGTTTGCCCCATCCCCTGGGGTCCTTGCCAAGGTATCAAATCCCATGTCCCTAGAAAGTGACCCCAAATCAATGTTTCCCTGCTTGTTGGCTTTTACCTTCCAGCCCCTTGGTCAAGAGCTCTTGTAATCTAGTTCCTGGGTACTCCTCTGCTCTTGACAGTATATGCTGGCCAATTCTTACAAGTCCTTTGGATATAATCTTTTTTCTCCCTCATCAGGCCAGGCATGTCCCCAGCTGGGTTATGCTGGATTGCACCCTGGTTATTGGCCTGGCAGCCAGGAGGGGCACTAGGGGGGCAGCTCCTGAGGGCAGGGGTGGGGGAAGCAGGTGTTGTCTTGCAGGAGAGGCCTCTGCAGTGTCCTCCTGCTCAAGGGAAGTCTAGCTCTTAATAAGGCGGTGTGGGCCACCTCTGCAAGCTGTGCATGTTCAGGGCAGTCAGTGGAGCTAAAATCTTTGGGGACATCCACCAATGTCCCCGTTCCATATTTCAGGGTCTCGAGTTTTCCAAATTGGGGCACTGGCCTCAGTGTAACAGACTGCCTTGGCTGAGCATTTTAAAGATTCTGGAGATTTATGACTCTTTGAAGTCTTGTGCTTGCTCCTTATATTGTCCGCTTCCCCTGCAGGGGATAAGAGCCTCTTTGCAAGCTTTCAAAGATGCCTCTGACTCTCCCACTAGCCCTTAACTATCTAACTGTTCTTATTATCACTCTGCAGGGAATCTTCCGACTCCACTATCATTTTATACTGTACTCCCCATAACTTTCAAATACCTGAACCATTGCTTTGGCAAGGGCATTCCTCTCCGTCAGATGTCCCCCTGGTCGTCAGTGGTAAGTTTTTCAGCAGTGGTGCAACCATGCTTGTATGTGGGATCTGACTGTCCCACATAAACTTGGATCGTGATCCTCCTTGCCAGCTCATGGTGAGTGATCCAGTCTCAAAATCTCATCTTCTCGCCAGCATTCTGGAACCGCTCTGGATACCAATTGTGTTATTTCAAGTTTTCTTGGAAACAAAAGCAAAGACAGTTAGAAATGTAAGCGGAGAGTAGCCTGCGAAAGATAAAGAGGGAACGGGGTAAGCGGGGCAACCACTGACTACAATGTGGGAAGGAAGGATTATATAGGAAGAGACCCGGAGAAAGGCTCTGAGAAAGTTTTGGCCAGGCTGATGAGGAGCCCCACAGCAAAGGTTGACTGTTAGAAGAGTCCTGAGTTGGGCAGGAATGGCCTGACTCTTATACCCCACCATGCTCTGTCGCTGGCCTGGAGTAGCCCCAGGAGCTATGGCCTTAGTTGGAATACATGGTGGATCCTAAAAGTGTGAGAGCTGGAGGCCTTCAGGTAACCACAGCTTTCACTCCTCTCTCACTCCTCTCTCACAGGGAGATCTGAGTGGTACTCTTTCCCTCTCTCACAGGGAGATCTGAGTGGTTCCCCAGCACTCCAGCATGCCACATGGGCATCAAGGAGGCATCTGGCAGCCTCAGAGAAACCTCAGACAAAGATGCATCTGCTGGTTATGGGAGGCTGGACAGTGTGCAATGAAGAGGTAAGGGTGTGGGATATGGACAGGTACTGGCAGGCGAAACAGCAGTGGATTATTCAGTCCCCTGTGCAGAGAGCCACATGGGTCTAGACAAATGTGCTGACAGCAAGGAGTGGAAAGAAGGAACAGATTTTAAGAGATTTATAAAGGAAGAATTGCCAGCATTGGTCTTACAGACCTTTGCCTTATAAGGCGACAAATGGCTCTGGCCACTTTGGAGTTAACCTCTGAGAAAAGTTAGCCTGGTGCCACGTGCATTCTTTTTCATATATTAGGGAAAATAAGTATTCACAAGACTAACCTTTTAAAATACTTGTGAGTTACACACATTAGGAAAGGATCTGGTGTGATAAAGCTTATAAACACACTCATGGAAGAGTAGTGGACACATATCTAAACTCCAGACTTGCTCATTTTTGGCCACTCTGTCTTTTTCATGAGAACAAAAGAAAAAATAGTGAAGAAATAAATGCAAATGAAAAAACATGACCCAGAAATAACAGATAAAAAGTAACATGAGTACAACCTAATGATTTGTTCAAATATTTCAGGCAGGAGCTTTTGAGAAAACTCACCGAAGTCTGAAGATGAGAAAATAAAGGCATGGGAGAATAATTTGCTGAGGCGTTAATTCAGTCTCATTCTCATAGCTGTGACTGGAAGAATGAGAGTTTCTTTTTTTCTCAGCTCCCTGCTCCTCAGCAAGTTGGACAGACTTTAAAAAAAAGGGAAAAAACCAGGCTCCTGAGAGAACAGAGCTGAAATCTCAGAGAGGAAGCACTGCGGGTGTTAAAAGGGCAAAATCCAAGCAGTGATGGGAAGGCGGGTGGAGGTGGCGTCGGGAGGGTTGGGACTCCTGGAATGTGGGGGAATACGAGCTCTGGCAGAAGGATCTGCCTCCAGAAGGTCATGGGGCTTGGAGAATGGGCATTCCTTGGCAACCATAATGAACTAAAGACTAAAGACCCCAATCCTCAATCGTATGGGCCCCTACAGTCCTATATGACTCTTTACGATCCATGAGTGAGGGAGGGGTTTCCACAAACCCAACTGAAAATATTCTCTACCTCTGGTGGGTGGGAGCTTAGCCACATTGATCAGGTTTAAAAAGAAATAATGCTGATTCTTGCAGCAAATTCATACCTGCAGCAGAAGGAATAAGTGATCCCTCTTTGGGGACTGGCTGCCCAGGCGACTCACTCGGCTGCTGGGGGCAGCCAGGGCAGGCGTTCCCGTGGCTGTTCAGTGTCCCTTGTGTGGATAAGCCACATTCATCCATTCTCCTGTTGGGACACACTGGGCCCATTCCAGCTCGGGGCTCCGGGAGCACACTATCCCGGACCGTGTCCCACCCTTCACTGGAGTTTATACCTAGGAGCAGAACTTCTGGGTCAAAAGGTGCTCTTACCTTCCTGGGCAGTACCGCTGGCTTTTCTAAAACAGAGAATTTGTGTGTGCAGGTCCCGTGCTGAGCTCAGGGAGGGGCGGCATTCTTCCAGAAGTCTCAGCTGCAGAGGGGCCTGTGCTGTGGGGAGGGGCCAGCTGCTCAGAGGGGGATGAACAGGGAGGGAGCCCTGGCCGAGTGCATGGAGGGTGGTCAGCGATGCCCCCTGCATTAGAGACACAGTTGCTGAGGGTGGCTGATGGCAGACATTCACTACGTGGAACATTCCAGGCAGGAGGAGGAGGGTGCAGAGGCTTTGAGGCTGGGGGTGACCTGTCAGCTCGGCCACCACAACGAAGTGCCGCAGACGGGGCCGCATGTACAACCGAAGTTCATTTTCCCACAGTTCTGGAGGCTGCAAGTCCCAAACCAAAGTCTGGCAGGGTGGGTTCCTGGTGAGACCCCTCTTCCTGGTTGGTGCCTTCTCCCCACGTCCTCACGTGGTGGAGAGGGGGCTCGAATGTCCCTTCCTTTTGTCAGGGCACTAGTCCTACCAACTTAGGGCCTCACCCTTATGGCCTCATTTAGCCTTTAGCACATCCTGACAGGCCCCTATCTCCAGATACAGCCACACTGGGGGTTAGGGCGTCAACATATGATTTGCGGGGAACACAAACATTCACAGCCTGTAACACTAAACTTAGTGGGTTAAAATGAGAATCGTTATTTATTTACTCAAGATTTCACAGTTTGGGCAGGGTCAAGGTGGGGACAGCTCCTCTCTGCCCTATGTGACATCAGCTGAGGCCTTGCTCAAAATGCCTGGCAAGTTGGTGCTGGCTGAGAGCTGGGAGCTTGGAGGGGAGGGGAGAGCAGCTGATGGCCGGGAGCCTTGGTCCTCCTCTGTGTGGATGCATGGGCTTTCTCACAGAGTGGTGGCTGCTTTCTAAGAGTGAGAAAGCAAAAGTTGCCAGTCCTTTTAAAGGTTGGGCCTGAATCCAGCAGGAGTGTCATTCCTGCCATCGTGGAAGTCAGAGTCCTAGTACAGCTACTGGCCAATCATATCACAGACGTCTTTTTTTTTTTGGATAAAAATGATATATATTTAAGGTGCACAACATGTTTTGGTATACAGATACATAGAGAAATGGTTGCTACAATAAAGCTAATTAACATATCTATCTCCTCACATAATTGTCTGTTTTTTCATGATACAAGCAACTGAAATCTATTCTTAGGGAATTTCCAGTATATGAGATGGCAGTGTTAACTATAGTCATCGGGCTGCACATTAGATCTCTAGACTTACTTATCGTACTAAGTGCAGCTCTGTGTGCTTGGACCGCCCTCTCCTGGTCTCCCCAGCGCCTGCCCCTGCTGACCACACAGAGCTTGTCTTCTCTCGGCCATGTGCGGAGGGAAATGCGCCAGCTTTTATGTTGGGCATCACCTCCTACACTATATATCTTCTTGTCCTTGAAGCGCATATTGGTCAGCTCTTTCCCCACATAGTTAAGACACGGGGGCTGGAGCACACCAAGCAGGGAAAATCAGGGCCAGCTGTCTCACATACTGGACATTCCTCTGTGGCCAGTGCACAGGACTCTCCATGGCTGGAGTTGCAGTCGAGTGTGTGCTTTTTTCTGAAGTGGGGTCCATGGCTTTGATCAGATTCTCTGATGGGGCTCTCACCCAGAGAAGAGGTGCCCTGATCATGACCACGGATCTGATTTGACTACAGCTCTGTAGCATGGCTGTGAGAGGAGGATGGTTTGTCCAGCCTCTCCGAGCCTACCTCAGAGAAGCCATGGTTTATCATGTGCCCCAGTCACCACCTGCCACTTAGCAGGAGTCCAGTCCACTGTGTAGGGGACGGGCATTGGCGACCCCAAGATATGTGTCTTTGGCATGAGGATTATTTGGGGCTGGTTGCTTTTAATAAACTGGGACAGGGAAGGAGGCTCCAAGGCGTGGAACTTGGTTACCGTTTGTTAAGAAACATTTACATTTGTAAGGGAAATCTCCATCTGTAAAGTTGTCTCCCTCTCTGTACCAGGAAGAAGGGGGATGACCTTATCTCTAGAAACTCCTATCAATACAGAACGCAAGGACTTAAATCTGCATAATAATCTTATTCCTGTTTCTGGTAACCTCCTGTAACTGACTCCCCCCACCCTCAACATCCTCCTTTGTCTTTAGTTGGATATGATATTTAAGGTGGGGGCTTCAGCCATTTGGGGAGTTGCTCAGCTTGCCTGAGCCTCTCCCAGGTATACATGTTATAAAGCTTTGTTTAATTTTCTCCTGTAATTCTGTCTCGTGTGAATTTAATTCATTCTCTGGCCAGAAGAACCCAGAGAGGGTAGAGGAAATGTCTTCCTCTCCTACAAATGCATGCACCCAAATTCACTTACTCTTGTGTTCTGTTTTTTCAACTTTTTCTTGTGGAAAACTTCAGATATTGACAAAAGCAGGGAAAACAGTATAATGACCAACCCCTCCCCATGTGCCCAACTTCAACAATTATCAGCTCATTGCTAATCTTAGGTCATCTATCCACCCTCCTACTTCCCCGTTTCACATTATTTTTCTCAACGTTTTTATAGAATAGCACACACACTGAATAGTGCTTGTGTCCTACATGTGCGCAGGGTGAGTTTTCACATTGTGAGCTCTCACCTGATAAAGATTCTGGTACCCAATTCTGATGTGTGTTGTGGGGGTAGTGTTCCTACACCACCAAGCAATTGCCTGACACCTGATGATTCCCTGACAATTCAACTCAATTCCGACACTCTCTGCTGGAGCCAGCATCAGATTCCACAGGTTGAGGACTCAGTCCCACAAGACTGCCTCCACTTCAGATGCCAATCGCAAGCCCAAGTTGTCACCTGTGCTTCTGACCAACAGGATATAAATCAGAGGTTTTGATTAATTTGCTAGAGTGGCTCATAGAACACAGGAAACCAGTTTACTCACTAGATTACTGGTTTATTACATAAGACATTAAGATATGAATCAACAGCCAGATGAAGAGATACATAAGGCAAGCTCCCTGACAAAGGAGCTTCTGTCCTTTCTACCGAAACCAAAGTGGGTTCCCTCCTGATGAGTGAAATCAAACTCTCCACCAGAAGTAGTTGTCTCACAAAGTAAAGCATATTTGTGGCAAATAGGTGACCGTGAGGAATCATTTCCAAAGTCACGGTGTCCCCCAAAAAAGGGAAGCAGGGACTTTTATTTTGGATGGGGAATGAATATTTAAATGAGAGGGGTGGGTATTTGCTTGAGCAGGCTCAGTAGGAAAACATGCTTCCACATACACTGCAGGTTACGGTAATAAGATCCAAGCTCCTCCTGGAGAGATCTTAGCATTAAAAATAAGGCAAAGGTCATAGGAGTAGCTCTTATGGTGAGGCTTGGTCTCGTTCAGTGTGGTTGGTGATTGCATCTCCTTAACATGACAAAAGGCAAAAGAACAACTTGGAAAAACAATTAAAATGTCCAAACCCACCCTTGAGTTCCTCAGGATAAGTAGTCAGTGACAAAATCCCTCCTCTAGTCTTTATCCTGCTCCTCATTCTTGAGGGGTGCAGGTCGACGGTCTGTCTTATGTAACTGCTTCCTGCTGAGCATGGGCGTTGTCATAGGGACCAGTAGAGGAGCAGAATTTCCAGCTAATCTCAAATAGGTTTGTGGGTTACCATAGGCATAACCCCCGGTTGTTCGTAACAACCATCTATAATTTTATAACTTCAATGCCTTTAGAATATGTTTAGGATCTGGGCATACTTGCCCCCCCCCCCCCCCTCCAGATGTGACCAGTTCTTTTATAGTCTAGATACTGGGTTGCCATCCTTCTCTGATGGACCTAGTCTTCCTGCCCAGGAACATGCAACCTCCTTGGAAGCATACCATACCTAAATGGTATGGGGTTGGTTTGTTTCTAGGGCAGAGCCCCGGGTGGATAGCCAGTCCTTCAAAGGTTGACAGGTCATTGGGATTTACTTATCTGTATAGTGTCTCTGAAACAAGAGTTTATTCAAATCAGAGACTGGTTTGCCGGAAAACTCAGAGTCATCAATTGTCTGTGACGATCTCTCTTGATGTTCAGGCATGGGCGCCTTTTTTACTCTGTGTGGTGGATCCAAGGGATGACTCCTTCTAACTTTAGGAAAGAGTGAGTGGTTAGTAACACCAAGCGAGGCCCTACCCAAATAGGATTTAGCTGATCTTGGAATGAACCACTTTTCCAAGTTTTAAGACAGCATGAACACTCTTAAGGAGTCCCCAAGCTGTTTATTTGGGGGCCCAAATCTTCCCTCCTTGGTTTATCATCCAACCCTTGACTATTGGGGACCACTGGTAACCATGTGTAGTGGCTTCCCTTACTTCATCAGGCGAATACACTGGTGTCAATTCATAGAAGGGTTGAGTGGGAATTAATGATAATTGGATAAACTCTCCTGATGGAGCGGCCCTTTTTACAGCTGCATTTCCCAAGTTATTCCCTTTGATGACCTCTGATTCCCATTGTGATGGCCTTTACAATGGACCACAGCTACTTCCTTGGGGCCCTGTACCTCTTCTAGCAGTTTAAGGATCTCTGGCCCATGTTTAATTTCTGTGGTTTCCTCTGGGGATCTCTGTGGCTAGAGTAAACGTGATCCATCACTTCTGGGCAAGTATGGGTAATAGGCCCATTGGAATCAGGGAGCGGGGTAGCTGGTTTTAAGGTATGATACGTGATGAGGATGAAGGCTGCCCCAGTGAGAAGCCCAAGGTGTCCCGCCCTACATACTGATCTATATCTTCCTCCAGGAAGCATAGGACATCCTGACTTAATCCAATCTGATTCTTATCTAAAGTTATAGGACCACCCAATAACCAGACCTCACCTGCACTGATACCATTTTAACAACTTTTTTCATGATCTTTCCTTTGTCTTGTAAAGACAAAACTCACATACCTATGCCTTAAATTTAGCCCTACCCTCAACACATTGTAGCTCTTACTGCCCATGGGTCCTGTCCCCATGCCTGCAGCTCTTAACTGCCCATGGGTCCTGTCCCCATGCCTGCAGCTCTTCACTGCCCATGGGTCCTGTCCCCATGCCTGCAGCTCTTACTGCCTATGGGTCCTGTCCCCATGCTACTCCATGATCTTCTCTGAATAAAAGAACACTACTGCCAGACCTTGAGAGTCCAAGAAATCTTTCTTTCAACTCCTCGGCTCACCGAGCCCGCATCAATAGGGTTTTAAAGAAATCTAAGGGGAATCTAGCAGCATAGCTTGGTATTGTAGTATTCTATCCTCAGATAGCCATAGATGTCCTTTAGCCTCTAGAAAGCTAGAGACTTGATAGGGGGTCCACACCATCAATAGTTTGGCCCATAGCCAGTTTTTCTGCTGTCTTGATTAAGAGGCAGGTGGCAGCTACAGCGTTCAAGCATGGGGGTCATCCTATCACCATGGTGTCTAACTTATCCCATTTAAAGGGATCTGTTTCTGGCCCCTGTAGTTTATTATAGAGAGGCTTAGAAATCAATCCAAAGGTAGGGATCCAAATGCAGCAAAAGCCAGCCATCCCCAAGGATTCTCGTAGCTGCCTATGAGTTTTCAGTGGAACAAGTTGGCATATTACCATTTTCCTCTCTTGGGGAAGGCTGTGTTGTCCCCTTGAAATGATGAACCCCAAATACTTTACATTCTCTTTATATATTTGTGCCTTTCCTTTAGACACTTTATATCCCTTACTGGCTAAGAAGTTTAACATATTTAACTCAATTCTGACACTAGCTACCTGGGGGTAGAATCAGACCCCACAGGTTAAGGGTCCAGTCCCACAGGATTACCCTTCGCCTTCTATTTTAGATGCCAATTGCAAGTTCAGGTTGTCACCTGTGCTTCTGACCAACCAACCGCAGACCAGAGGTTCCCACAACCCCCTCCTTGGGGTTGATTAATTTGATAGAGTGGCTCACAGACTCAGATAAACATTTTACCTAACAGCCAGATGGAAGAGATGCATAGGCAAAATATGTGGGGAAGGGACGCTGAGCTCCTACACCCTCTTGGGGACTCTCCCCCAATCTCTATGTGTTCACCAACCCAGAAGCTCTCTGAACACCGTCCTTTTGGGTTTTAGTGGAGACACCACCCCATAGGCACAGTTGATTGG